GTGTAGAAGGGCCCGGGGAATTCAAAACCTCAGACTCATACACACACAGTTACTGTAGATTGAATGCTAACAACTTTATTGTTAATCTTGCCTGAGTCTTTACATTCCAACACCCCTCATCAGGTTATTAGAGGGTGTATTTTAATGCATAGGCACAAAGAGTCTAGATTTGTGTAATTCCTAGGTCAGTCTATGGTGGCTGTAAACACACATCTAAGAATAAAATTTGACCCTATCTGTGAACTGGTAAGATCGCGTTCAGGGAGATGCTCAGCATTAAGTTGAGAATTGCTGACACAAAGGAGGGACTGCCTGGAGAAGATATTACCATTTCAATCAGTCCATATAACCTTGCAGAGAACCTATATCCAGTTATTAGCAACGCTTGGGAATTCTGTGATTGATGGCCCATTATGATTATGCACAGACAACATTAATTCTGGCCTTTCCTAAGTTTTGAGTGCTTTACTGTACATCTTTTAATGTGGTTTTTGTGTATAATTTTCTAGATATTTCTAAAAAGCAAATTGAAAAGTAGAAGTTCTTTCATGTGGTAGTATATTGCCACCCACATGGATCATTAGCAGGTTTGGAACTGATAGCTCAAGTAGCAGAATTTTGGGTGGTGGATCTAACAGAATAACTGTTAACAGGACTAGATTGTTATCCCCTATAGCGACTAGCAGTAGAAGGGGGATGGGAGACTTTGCTAGTGAATTTTAGGAATGTTAAATTGTGAATAATTGACTAATCAAATAGGTAATGCATTTTGCATCAACTATTTATTTAGTCGATAAAGCACCTCTGCCTTTGAAGTGTAGACACAGCTCTAGGGATGTTGCTAAACTTTAAAGGCCAAAGCACCATGTGGAGCCCGGGGTCAGCTGGGCACTTCGCCTCTGACTCTGGGCTCCATATGGTACTGCTACTTTGAAATGCCATGGGGAGCCCCTCCCCAGGCTCCATGTGGTGTTTCAAAGCGGCAGTGCTGCACAGAGCCCGGGGTCAGCTGGGGGAGTCCCCAGCTGATCCCAGGCTCCACACAGCACTGCCGCTTTGAAATGCTGTGTGCAGCCTGGGGACACCAAGGGCTGTATGTGGCGTTTCAAAGTGGCAGTGCTGCATGGAGCTGGCTCCATGTAGAGCTGCTGCTTTGAAGTACCCCCACTTCTTCCCCCCACACTTTGCTGCCTCTTTCTGATAGAGGCAGCAAGTGGGATGTGGGAAGGGAAGTAACTAATCAACAAGCCTATTGACTATCTGATAAGCATTTGCTTATCGGATAGTTGACTAGTCCTTCACCTTCCTAGTGAGCTTCAAAGATACTTGAAGACTTGAGGATTTTGGGTTCCCTTCCAGACTCTGGGGCAGGGGTGGGCAATAATTTTTGACCGGGGGCCACTTCAGAAATGTTTGAAGCAGGAGCTGGTGATTGACTTTAAGTGCTGAGTCCCTTGCAGGGTGGGAGGAAACTTTGCATGGTCCTCCCTCCCTCCACCCCAGTCCAATCAGGGCTTGGGGGAGAGGGGGAGCGCATGAAGTCTCCTCTCACCCTGCATCTGTCCTGCAAGGAGCACGTGGTGCTTAGAAGCACCGCATCCCTTGCAGGGCAGGAGGAGACTTCATGCACTTCTCCCCACTCCCAGGCCAATCAGTCTCCCACTCTGCCAGGAGTGTGTGGTGCTTTTAAGCACTCTGCACTCCTTGCAGGGGAGGAGAAGACTGCGCACTTTCCCCCGCCCCCAGGTCCTGATTGGCCTGGGGGCGGAAGGAGCAGCAGGGCCTCCACGAGTTATATCAACTTGCTTGATGTGCCAGATCCAGCCCATTGAGACCCTTTTGCCCACCCCTGCTCTGGATCAGTGTGTGCTGCAGTGGACACAGACCCTGTTGCTTATTTTCCCGAAGCCTGACCCCCTTGTGTCTCATCACCTCTGTGACTCTTTCTGCCCCTGTCTCTGCCTCTACCTTTTGTATCCTAGTTTCTTTCTTCTCATCTAGTTAATGCCAGTCTCTGCTTCTGAGAGGCTTCTGGTCCCAGTCTCAGGCTTCCCCTTTTCCTACTCCCAGTCTTCTTGCCCATCCAGACCTAGTTTTCTACCCCACCCCAGTCTTTCCCTGTACTCCCCTGCCCATGTTCCCCATGCCTTTGTAGGAGCCAGTTCCCCTAGGCCCAGTCTCCCTCCCCAGGTTTCTCATCCATTTTCACTGTCCTCACCTTCCCCAGTTCCTTGTCTCAGGCTCCTTGTCCAGCCAGTCCCAATCTCCACCTTCCAGTTCCATGTCCTACTCTTCTCACTTGCAATGTCCTATGTCTTGCTCTTGTCCTCTGGATTTAAATTGGATGATTCCCTCCGCTGTATTGCTGGGTGCCAATAGAGTGTGTGGGAGGGGCGTGGGGGGTGGAGTGGAGAGGTCACTAAGAGCACATAAGAGATCACTGTTCTCCTATGCCAATGTCCTGACTCACCTGAGCTGGGAGCAGCCATTACAGTGAAAGCCTGGAGTAGAACATGCTCAGTTGTTCTCTGGGGCTGGCACAAGTGTAGGTTCAGCAAGGGTAGAATCTTTCAAGGTTTCTAGCTGTTAAGCTGAGTCAAATCTCAACTGAACATGTGCAAATGTGACTATCATTCTAAATTGGCCATGGATTTTCACAGTGATGGCAGAGTCCATCCCTGACACACAGGACACCTCTCTGCCAAATTTAAATTCCCTATTCCAAAGGATAGGAGCCTTTCCAAAGAAAAGGTCACCAGAATATTTTTAACATTGAAAAATAAAAATATTATTTTCTTTAATCTCATTCTTGGACAGCCAGGGACTAAGAGACTCTGTGCACTAGCCCCATCCCCTGAGTGCCAGCTCCATAGCCCGCATTTGCTGGGAACCACAACCAATGGGAGCTGTCGGGGCACTGCCTGCAGGAGAGGGGGCAGCGTGTAGCATCTCCCTGGTCCTGACAAGGAGCTAAAACGCCTCGGGAACTTGGCAGCCACTTTCTGAGAGCTGTGGTGAGCACCGGCAGGACCCTGCATCTCTTCCCATACACCAGCTTCCTGTCCCAGCCTGGAGCCCCCTCCTACATCCCAAACTCCTCATCCTTAGCCCCACCCCAGAGCCAACACCCATCTGGAGTCCTCACAACCCCTCCTCCTAACCTCCTAACCTCAATCTCTGGCCCCAACTCCAGTCAGAGTTCTCATCCTGCTGCACCCTAACCCAGCCCAGCACCCTCACCTGCAACAGTCCCCTCAGGAGGGGTTCAAATGCTGCCCAGCAGATTGACAAAGGTCTTGCAGCTGTTTCTACTGGTTGTACACATTCACACGTGCCTCCGTGCACATAAAGATTATTCCACACATGGATGGAAGAAACATACACAGGGATGAAAAAAACAGAGGGAACAGTGGCCTGCAGTCCAATCCCCTCAGCCCCTTGAAGGAGCCACCTCCTGCTCCCCAAATGCCTCAGCCCCACCATAGATACTGCACCACTAGCCAGAACCTTCTTCCCACATATTCCCCCAACCCTCTGCACTTAGGATTGCCAGGTGTCCAGTATTGACCCAGACAGTCTGGTATGTTCGCCTCCTGTCCGGTTAAAAAAAATCAGAAAATACCGGACACCTAAAATGTCCAGTATTTTCTGATTTTTTCCCCCCCCCCTGCTAGGAGACGAAAATACCAGACACCTGGCAACCCTACCACACATTCAGCAACCGGGCCCAGCTTCCACACCACCACCCCCCCTTGGCCCCGTGGATCCCCTCTCCCCGGCCTCCCTCTCCTGCTTAACTGGTTCCACAGGGAAGCTGCCTTCTGGCTCTGATCAAGAAAACAAGATGGCCACCAGCAAAAATCCTAAAGACTTTTCTTAAAGGAGCCATGCATGCTGTTTTAATGCTGTTTTATTTTTTGTATTTTTCGGTTTTTTGTTTTTTGTTTTTTTTTTTGCTCAACAGAATTTTGAGCAGACAACTTTAGCCTCAACAACTTTGGTCTGATGTAACTAATTTGGCTGTTGTGTGGGGGGGGGGGGGGGGTGCTGGGGAGGTGTGTGTTTGGTATTTTTGGTTAAACCATCTGGAAACCCTATCTGCACTAGGACAGTGGAAATAAGGGAGAGAAGGAAAAGCAGGCAACAGAAGGAAAGGGCGTTGAATGAGCAGGGTCAGGGACTCAGAGAAGGGCTAGAGCTTGGATGGGGTTTACTTCCCTTTTTATTTTCTGATGCTCCATACCCTTCATCTGTGTGTCCTGCTCTGCCACCAAGCACGCCTCTGTTCAGGCTTTCCCATGTATAAGGATAGGCAAGGACTCAAAGCACTAGCAACCATCGTCTTCTCAGTTGCCTTTGTTCAGGAAATATTTTTCAGGGTTAGGATTTCAGCCAGCTTCCTCTCCCTCTTCTCTGCATCCTAAGGTTGGGTAAGCTCCCAAGAGTGGGATGTTCATCTGGCAGTGGCTTCTTCCTCATTACGTGTGCTTATGGTGGGTTCCTGCATGCTGGCTGTTTTCAGTGCTCACAGCCCTGCTCTTCTTCTGCATGCAAGCCATGAACTTGAGGGATCAAAGGTGCTCCTTCATTCTGTCATGAGTCAGGGATGTATAATAAAAGGCACAGGGTCCTGATGTTCTGGATATCTTTCTGGGCCAAACTCTATTTGCTCTTATGGAGTATAAATCCAGAGTAACTGTTTAGATCAATTCAAATTCTACTGGCATGTAAAAGATGCTTAAAGTGCCAGCATACCATCTTGACCTAATTTTAGCTCTGCATAATAAACAAGTGTTATGGTCACCATCTAAGAGACAATATTTGTGACAGCTGCCAGTTATTTTCTGCCCTACATGCAGACAAAACCTGAGGTATTGTAGCTACAACTGTTTTGGCAAATGGTGAATTTTTATAGTAACCTGTGGCACTGAGAAATAATTTTGCACTTCTGTGTCTTCACTGATTTGTTCTCCTTTATGATGTCTTTTGTTGCATTCCAGATCAAGATAGAGAAGGAGTTCAGTAGTTTGTACAAGAGAATGTTCGAACCACTCCATGTACCTCCAGAACTGTTCAAGAGGTTAACTGGACAATTCTGCAACATTCAGACTTTAAAAACAGGTCAAGCATATGCTGCAGAGGACAAAACATCAGTTGATGATCGATTAAGTATCCTGTTGAAGGGAAACTGCATAAAGTTTGGGAAACTCTTGTGTATTGTGTGATGGTGGGATGAAAAACAAATTGAAAGGAAGGTCATTTAAAAATATTGTTCGCAATATACTATAATCTGTAGCCTTCTATTAACCTTCATTTTCTGAATCTGATATTGTGAAATGTCTTATTGGGACCAAATTCTGCCTTCGTTTTCACAAGACATGGATGTTTCAGCGAGTTCTTTGAATTTTGTTTTACCATTGTCAATAACCCACATTCAAATTTAGAGTGCTGTTTTATTGTATGGTTATCAAATGTTTTAACAAATATTTTTATCATCAGAATGAAGGTCTCCTATCGAGGGCATTTTCTGCATAATATTTACCCCTGTGCCTTTATAGATTCTCCTGAATTTCGGTCAACTCAGATGAACCGGGGTGAAAAATTCCAGGTATGTGTGAATATCAAAGGTAGGGAAATTCCCATTGTAGTGTGTTAACCAGTTAAGATCTGTGTTCAAGCCTAAGTGATCTTAGGTATTAGGTTTAAAAAAACAACAACAGATACAACTATTACAATTATGAAGTTAGTGTCCTTTTAAATGTTCTCTCTGAGGAAAAAACTGGGGTGTGTGTACTACAGTTGTCATTCAGCAGCAATTGCTTATACTGGAGTCATTTTATACATTTTTCCTGTTGTGTTCCCTAACATGTAACAACTGACTTATTACATGGGATGTTGTTTTTAAGGAGCCTTAACGGAGCCTTTCTGATGCAAAAGTCATCCTTATGTTTAGTAGCAAAACTTACAGTCTATATTCAGACAAAAAGTCCCAGTGACTTCACCAGGAGTGTCACATGAGTGAGGGCTGCAAGCTTTGGTGCCAGTGCATCATGCCATAGAATGCCACACACACAGGAGACCAGGAGTGATCTTAGCGGTTCTTATTTTTAGGGTTAGCCTGCCTGATACTATAACATAGAGCCACACTATATTTATTTATTATTTGCATTGTGTCATTCTCATCCTAATTATGGGCCAGGAGCTCATTGTTCTAGATGCTGTACACATGCAAAACACAAAGACTGCGCTGAAGAATTTACAGTCTGATCTCATTACATTGGTGTTGGCGCCAAAAGAGAGTTAATGTGAATGACAGTTGATGACCTTGTCCTCTAAAGGAAAATGTATGGCTTTAACATCTCTTAGGGCTTGATCCTGTTGCTTGATCTGATTCCCAGTACAGTCAATGGAAAAACACTCATTAATTCGGTAAGGAGTTGGATCAAGCCCTTCCTGTTTGTTATAGAGCAATTCTGCTGTCTCAGAAATTCCCTCTCTTTCTATCTGCATGCTGTGGGCAATGATCGTGGTTTCTAAGGTCTTGTTTACAATGAGAAATTTCCCAGAATTGCCATACCAGCATAATTATACCACTGTGGTTTTACTGATGTAATTCCCTATGTAGACAGACACTCATATTCAGAATAACCATGGTTTTTTGTTGGTTTAGCTTTTGTTTTATTGCTCTAGAATAGAAATGTTAAAATGCGATTGCTTCCCTAATCAAATAGTCGAAAGATTTTTCTGTTGACTATTCGATTAGTTGCCATGGGTAGGCACTTGTGGCGCTCAGTCTGGCTCTTGCTGATTCACAGCAAAACCTCCCCAGTTGCGGCACTGCATTGTAAAGCACAGCGAAGCCGGCACGCAAAGGCGCTAGCTCGGACCCTGTTCTGCCGGTCACTTTTCATTCAGCAGACCTCACACACACACAGTGTGAGGTCTGCTGTGAGATCTTGGGCTGTTTAATGCAGAGTGGCAGCTGGGAGTTCCTGTGCATGAGGTCTGCTGAATGAAAAGAGACCCGCAGAGCAGGGGCCGTGCTAGCGCCTTCGTGCCCCAGCTTCCTTGGACTTTCCAGTGCAGAACTGCAGCTGGGAGGAAGCAACTTGTTGATAGTGCTAATCGATAAGCACCTGCTTATTGGTTAGTCATCTAGTTGACTACATGCTAACATCCCTACTCTAAAAGCTAAGGAAGATGAAATGATGGCTGAAAATATCATGCACCGGCGTGCAGTAGATAACAAGATATTAAGGAGGGAATATTTTCTACCCCAGAATGAATCAGCACCAGATTTGTTGCTAGTTCCTTAACATGTTTCTATTCCTAATTCTGATTGTGCAGTAGTTACTGGACTATGACTCTCATCATGCCAGGAAGGGAGGCAGTGTTGGTATGGCATCTGGCTCAGTGAGTTAGATAATATGTTCCAGTCAAGGACTCGGCATAAGGCCAAGGAGAGGAGGTTGTCAAGATACATTCACTTCCATAGAAGAAAGGAATCCTGTGCACTAACCGTTCTCTTGATACAATCTCTCCTGTAGAAGATGGTCAGCCACCAATTAATGCTATTGAAAGGAAATGGCTTAGCAAATGTGACCTGCTCTAAAATTATTAAAATCTAGTGTGGTATCTATTTCCTTCATTTACTATGTTTTTATTTTGTTTTTAAACAGTAAAATAAATAAATACATAAAAATGTTCATACAGAACTTTTATATAAATACTATATATAATCTTTCCATTTGTTTGCTATGCTGATGAACAAATACTCTTCCCAATCCTGTACTTTTAAGAACTCTTACAAAAATGGAGAGTAAAATATATAACTTAAACCTATATAGAGTATACAAAAGTGTGTTCTCACCTTCTGAGACTTATACCTTTTTATTTGTTTTAAGAAGGTTAAAAGAGCGCAAAAGACTTAGGAAAGAAATAGCTATGTGATTCCTACGTTTAATTGTTTACTTACATTTGTAAAATCAGTTATTTATATATGGTTATAGCAGTATTGAATTGTAATATAATGGTTTTTGTGTGCCACTGCCCTCTTCTGGCTAGAATGAGAGATCTGTTCAAGCATTTGTAATTGTTTTCCTGAAAAGGGGATGTAAACCACTTTGTAACTTCCATGGCAGTACTACTGATGATTAATTGATTTCATTGTTCAGAACAAGCGTCAAAGGCTTGCCTTTAGGAGAAGGTCATGAATTCTGTTTTGGCAAAGTAACAATTTGTATGAGATTTTGAAACATTTAAAGTATCACTCATGAATCTCTTTCTAATATACCAACTATGCCAACACATAACTATGAGTAATTTTACTTACATAAGTAGTTTTATGGCATCAGTGGGATTATTCACATGAGTAAAGAGATTTTTACATGCCATCCTTCCTTAAATCTTTCTAGGACAAATTTAGCTTTCATGTACTTAGATGCAACTTTGTTGACTTGAATTGCACTAAAGTCACTGGATTTATTTTGATTGTTTTATGTCTAATGAATTCAATAGAATAAAAGGTGTGTTCTAGTTTAATTCCTTCCCAAATATATGTCTGCATTACAAATGCTTATCTTAACTGTACTTACAGAGACAACTCTTCTCTGGCAAGGGCAAGATCCTCATGGCATATGCATCCACCTGTCTATTAAACAAATGAAAAAATCTCAGCTTAAAACATTTTACTGCACTTATAAATGAAGTAATTTTAAAAAATACAATAAGAAGCCTTTAAACTTGTAGGTGGTGTTTACCTTACGGAATATACAACCATTGAGTCATGACTGCATTAATTATTTTTGCTGCATCCCCAAATTAAAATCTGGTGTGATCTAATTTCAAACAATAAAGCGGTGTTAATTTTGTGCATATGTTTTCTTAGGTCACCATTACTGCAGATGACAACTGTAAGTTTCTGTGCTGGTCCAGGGAACGACTGACTTTTTTTTTGGAATCTGAACCATTTCTTTATGAAATATTTCGATATCTTATTGGTAAAGATATTACAAACAAACTCTACTCATTGAATGATCCAACACTAAATGATAAGGTGAGTTGTGGGGAAGGGTTCTCCTGCCTGTACAATGTCATTTAATGCTATAAAGACAGGTTAATTTTATCCTCTTAATTCTGCTTGCATATTCCATTAAATTCACACATATCCAAAGACAGAATTGTTATTTGTGTATCAAAAATGCGCTGGATACAGAATATTTGGATTTGTGGAGTAGTAAAGATGCTAATTTAATGGGGCCTGAGCTCGAGAGAAAAGAAGCATAGTTAAGGCCCATGTTAACACTACAAACTTTCACCAACACAACTTACATTGGCATAAAGCTGATGCGGTTAGTATATTGCTTATGTGAATCTTTGGCTGTGCATGCTCAGCAGGAGTGCTTGTGTTGATGCACAGTGAGGTGCACCATGAGCTGGGATCCCAGCATTCAATCTGCCACTGTCCAGTGCAGTCTTTTGGAAACTTTGGCAATGTATGGTGGGGCAGAAACAAATAATGCAGGGTGACTGTGCATGCAGCTGTCTCTAGCCCATAATTTTCATGACATATTTAAAAATCTCACAAAACTGCACAGCCCTCAGCTGTCTCTGGCAGAAGCCTGGAGCCTACACAACTCTGCACTTTTGTTGTAAGTGTTGCCAGCACAGGTTTCACGATCCTCTGGTACTTGTAGAGCTGTAAGAAAAACCTGCTGACTTGTGGAACAGGGCTATTTTTTAGAGGACCAAAAGGTGTGGACCATAGTGAGACCCAGTTCAAGGTTGTTGGTGATATTCGTGGAGCTGCCGCAGATGATAAACGCCACTTCTGGGCCCAAGAAACCAGTGCTGACAGATAGAATTGCATTGTAATGGAGGCTTGAGATGACAAGCACTGGCTGCAGAACTTTTGAATGCTTAAGGCCACATTCCTCAGTTTGTATGCCAAGCTCACCCCAGCCGTCCAGTACTAGGGTAGAAGCTGCAAGTGTCTATAGTATTTTGCACACTTTCAATACCATATTGCTTCCATCCAGTGGGAAATCATTTTGGATTTGGGAAATCCACAGTGGGAGCCTTTGTCATGTAAGTATGCGGTACCATTAATCATGTCCTGCTATGCAGCACTGTAACTCTTAGCAATGTGCAGCACATAGTGAATGACTTTGTAGCAATGGATTTCCCAAACTTCAGTGGAAAAATAGACAGCACCCAAATCCAATGGTCTCTCTGATTTTTTTACATCCATGTGCAGAATAAATTTTATCATATGCACCAGGCATGTGTAGGTTTGCACCACCAACAGAAAAACATGCTGTCAGCTGTGGGTGCTCTGCTAATCAGCCGGGCGGCATTTGAATCTCTCCTGGGTAGCCACCCAGCCTCTCAGCTTACAGGGAATACTGCGCATATCTCTTTTTTGATACCAGACCATATTGCCACAGAATACATCAACAAAACGGGCTACTTTTCTATAGCTATGCAAGTGCTGATTGGTCACCAAGGATGCTTCATCGACATCAGTGCTGGCTGGAAAGGGAAGGTTCATAACACTCTTATCTTTAAGAACACAGGACTATTCAGACAGCTACGAGCCAGGACTTCCTTTCACAACTGGAAGATTACCATTGGTGATGTTGAAATGCCAGAAGTAATCCTGGAAGACCCAGCCTAACCCTTGTACCCCTGGCTCATGAAGCTATTCACTGGCCACCTCAACAGAACCAAGGAAAGATTCAGCTACTGTCTCTGCATGTGTAGATTGACAATTGGATTTGATTTTGGTAGATTGAAGGGATACTGGCAGTGTCTGCTCACAAGATTGGATCTGTGTCTGTGTGGGGAGAGGGAAGGGGGAGTCTCAATGGTTACAGCTGCCTACTATGTCATGCATTGTATCTGTGAAGCAGAGGGTGTGAAGAAAGCGCTGTCACTCTGGAATGGAGGGCAGAGGTGGAATTAAGTCTGCTGAGTTTGAACAGACAAAAGTTTTAGTAAAAGAGTTCAGCATGGCGCTATATGGCTCAGGGAGGCTTTGAAGAGCACTCTTCAAAGTGAACCACAGTGATGCATTGTGGTATACTGTGGTCAGCCTGGCCTTGCTCTTTTGGGACTGTTGGGAATTGTGTGGTGTTGATTCACACCTAAGCATATAACACTATCAGTGCACCTGTTAATTTTGTGGTGCTTGGTGTACATTTACGATCATGACACTGTCACTGATCTTATGAATTGTCACACTACAGCCTCTTCCCGACTTACCAACCGATTACGGACAAGCAATTGGTCGTAATTCGGTTTGTTCGTAAGTCAGACACCACAGAGACACACGCGACCGCACTGTTCGTAAGCGCGGATTGTGTTCGTAATTCAGGGTCCACCATTTACGACAGCTTCGGTCGTAACTGTGAATGGTCATAAGTCGACCGTTTGCAACTCGAGGTCCGGCTATATACTGTAACAAGTTAGTGGGTGCTGTCAGAACTGCTAGGCACGCTGCAGCATAAGTTGTGAGCTAATAAAGATGAATTATTTTCCAAATAATACAATTTTATTCATTAACACAACCAGTGCAAAGAAAAATCTGTTAAATTCAAAAGCAAATGCATTAAAAATTTAATAAATGAACAGTTTCACCAGGCGAAAGAACATTTATGGCTATTTTACTTATGCATGCTAACTGTGAAAGCTATGGCTGCTGTATATGAAGCAATAGTTTTCCTTACTGTCCCCTGGGCTGCAATGTAAAAGAAGGGATGGAGCCTCTGATGCCATGTGGAGTGTTGGGGTAAAGGGAGGTGCTGTAGTGGAGTTCTGCAAAGGGAGGCAAATTTGTAAGACCACAGGAATCCAAGGCATTTGTTTGCTGCCAGAGAACCCCTGACGTCTCCCTCTTTTTCCCAGTTGGCCTTTCTTCTGTCCACTCTTTCGTTCTTCACGCTGTTTGCAATGTTCACCTCCTAGGCCCATTGCTCACAGACTGATGCAGCACTGGCTTGCAGGATCTTATTGCTCTTCCATGGCCTGAGGTAGTGGAATTCAAAATGGTGACCAGAGTGGTCTGTGTCTGGTAATGTGGGACAGCTGCTAGAAGACTTTTAGAGTTGGCATAAGTAAAGTAGTGTTTACACATGTATTGCGTTGGCCTCGTTCCAATACCCTCAAGGAGCTATATCACTATAGGAGAGCATTTACATTGGTTTGAGATAAAGATAAAGTGTAGAAACATGCACAATTAGGTCAACCTGAGTTACTTTGACCTAACTTTGTCGTTTGGATCGGGCCTTAGCATCTGAACCCATGACTGATGTAAATATTTCTAGCCAAGTAATAGGTATGTCAGGAAGTGATTATTTTTGTAAATTGATTGTCATCTCCATAGCAGAAGGGAACTCTCATATTGTGGATATTGTTTTTCTTTCAAAGATTAAATGTTAGATATGGGATTGACTCTTATCTCAGTTACACCAGCGTAAATCAGGAGTTGCTCCATTGAAGACGGTGGAGATATTTGAGTGTAATACCACTAAGAGACCAGAACCCTCCTTGCTCTCTTCGACTACATTTACACTTGCCTGTTTTAACACAAAAGTCAAGATTTTTGTGCAAAAACCATGCTCGTGTCATAAATGGAAATTCATGTTTTGTGCTGAAACTACTGAGTTTCGGTGCAAAAATAAAACCATTCTGAGAGGCTTTTTGCAGTGATGTGTAGGTGAAGACTCTTGGTTGCTCTTACCAGTCTAATTGCCCTCTGGAGCTGTCCCACTTTGCAGAACAGGAGTGGCTGTTCTTTGAAAACGAGCTGTCCTCCCTGCAGATATGCCCTCTCCCCTTTAGCTATGTTTTGACAGCTAATGCTGTCACTGCTCCTGGACACGCAACAAATAATTACTGTGGAATGCTCCTGCTGCCTCCTAAAATGTGAACAGAGGCAAGCAGACAGAATATACTGTCCAGAGACAAGGAGGGAGATGGGGGTGGAGGTCGGGGTTTCCCCGCCTGCTGCCTCAGGACTGGTTGCTTCCAGCAGTTGTCTCATATGCATCTCTACCCTGCCACAAGAATGATTTGCTTTGTTTCCAGAAGCAGTGCATAGTGGGATAGTGCGCTTCTCTCATCTAGGATGCAAGTGGTGCCTATGTAAATGCCCTTTGATGCCTGTGGAAAACAATATGAACACAAACCAGAGCTTTGCTTTCAGCACTTTGCTATCTGTCACTGTCAGCAAAAAGCTCTGCAAATACCGACATAGCTATAGCTGCTGCTCTCAACAGGCTAGCAGATGCTTCAATGAAAAGAATCTGCAAATGTTCAGAGAAGATATCTCCTGCTGGGTGTCAAGCCACTGTTTGCTGTTGGTACTAAGGAGGAATATGATGATTGTCAGCAATGTAGGATGCGAATGCTAAGGCAGGAATGATTAGGGGCATAAACTCAACACAGGCAGTGAAAGTTCTTTGTTTTACGCAGCCAATGTGCCTCCTGCTGGTAAGGGAAACCTCCAGGAAAGAGAAGACAATGTAATCTCTCCCTTTCATTTAACGTTGGTGTCTGATAATGCAGACCGTGGCACCAAGGAATGCCTGCTGTGAGGGTGAGGAGTTAGTCATGTGAACACCTGTTGGATAAAAAAGGACTGAAATCACCAAATGAAGTCACAGGGTAGGATCTAAAGGGGACTGAGCCAGTCCATCCTGCCTCTAGCCAGCTCTAAGTAGTCCTTCCTTAAAGCACATTTTTCCGAAAGGATGTATTTACCCCAGTCTTCCCCTCAGCAAAGTGCCAAAAAGAGAGATTAAAAAAACACACCTCAAACCAAAACTCTTTTAAAAAGATCATGGAACAACCAAGCCTTCTCATTGGTGTCCACATGGCTTTTTGTTGCACCCTTTTTATTTCATTGGTACCTTTTTATTTTTCTGTTTATTCTATAAACTCTTCAGATCAGGAGCCTTGTCTTTAAGGTACCTAGTGCACTGTGAAAGCTAAATACATACTGTTCTTTGTCCTTAACCTTGTGTTCAATCTTGTTTTTTTTTCCAGAACATCTACAATTAAGATTAGTTATTTCTTTAGATTTTTTTCATTTATTTACTATAAAGAAACCAGCAATCACCTCTGATGGAATGATACTGACAAAATAACATATGCCGTTTTGCTTTAAAATATCTTTCAATTGGGAGATTAGGAAGGGATGGACTAAGTGACTAAGGGAACTTCACCATCTCTGACTTCAACTATTAGACATTTTAGAGATATGCCTTCATGGATTTTTAGCTTGCACTGTGTAGATTCAAGTATTATGTGAGAACAAATATATACTTAACCTTGTGTTACTTTCATTATAGCTCCTTACATGGCCTCCTGGCTTTGCATTGTTTGGATAGAGCAACTATGTTGTGCTTATGGTTCTTGTTGTTTATGTCATGGCTTCAGAGTTTTGATAAACATTTATTCCAGTAATGGACTTCTTCTGCACCACTTATACAACTGCCAACTACTTTTAGGTTAAACAGAAGCTTCGCTTTAACTCTGGCTTCATGATTGTAAACCTTTCTGATTTGTCAACCCAAAATTCTTTCTCATCAGGTTATTCCTCAAAAATCCCCTAAATAGGTCATCAACAGACTTTAATCCAAAAGCATTCCTGAAATACAGCATCAGTAATTCTACTGAGTTTCTTTGTCTCCAGACTGACTTGCAAGAATAGTTTTGAGGCTTTAAAATAGACTTGCAAACAATGTATATAGCTAACATATAGATAGATAGATAGATAGCTGATGTATATAGCTGGTCAATAAATACATGATTATAAACTCTTCCTGCCACTAAAAGTGAGCTAGAATAGAAGTCTGACCCTTTAAGAACAATGAAAGGTCCTGCAGCACCTTAGAGATTAACAAAAAAATGTAGATGGTATGAGTAGCTTTTGTGGACCAAAAAAGTCCATGAAAGCTCATGATACTATCTACATTTTTTTGTTAGTCTCTAAGGTGCTGCAGGACCATCAGTGGGTTTTGTTTGTTTTTTTGTTTTCAGTTACAGACTAACACGGCTACCTCTCTGAGACCTTTAAGGATACATCTGACAGCATATAAGAGCATGGTCAAAAAAGTGAGGAGCAGGACAGGGAGCACATAGGGGAACTCTGTATTGCAATAATGAGGATGGTGTTGCATGGTCAGTAAGTGATTTTTGCCCGGTGACCAAAGGGGGGGACATATAGCTAAGCATTTCATTTGCTTGCTGAGTACCCTCAGGAAAACCCATTTTCTATTGTGTACTCTTCAGAGCGTAAAAGGCAGGAACTTAACACTGACTTCTGTTCAGTGTAGGGTACTGTGTCTAGTGTGTCTCTCACTAGCACTTCATGCAAGGATATGTATGATCAAGGTATCAGTAATTCTTCAGAGTAGAATGTTAAATTGAATACTTGTCCATTGTTCCAAGTTGTGTAGCTGAGTGTCTGGAAGCCAAGGAGTGGCTCTTACTCTCCCCTTTGGGATATTTAAACAGATGTGCAAAGAAGTGGTTATTCTAGCCTGGATACTTAGGTTCTAATGAAGTCCAGCTATACACATCTGACAGGAAGCTATAACTGGAATTGCATTGTATGGGATTTGCAAATTACAGGAGTAATCAGAGGGGGGAAATTGGATTTACTGAAAATGTGAGTAAACTGAAAAAACAACAAATAGTCTGGTAGCAGTTTATGTAGATGGTATCATGAGCTTTTCATCTGAGGTTCAGGCCATCCCCTAGAAAATCTTAAATTGAGACACAATCCAAAGGCATTTACATGTTAAAAAAATCTATTCTTGCTCTTTGTTACTTATTTCCTTTCTTCATCTTTTTGTAACTTCATTCATTTAAGTGAGTGCTTATTACTTCTGATACTTCTCGCTGCTTGAATCTGTTCTATGTGGGACAGAATACTGCTTCCTGTTTGTGACTTTGGACAGTTTTCAAAACCGACTTTTGAAAAATTGCAGAGCAGATGCCTTCTTAAAAACAGACCTCTAAGATATCAGATATACAAAAACTTAGTACCCCAAGCCACTAGGCACTTTGAAAAATCTTGACCATAACATTTCTTGTAGCGTGGATTTTTCTTGTCTTGATTATCCTTTCTCTTCCACCCTTTTCATTTTCCTCCTCTCCTTTTTGTCTTTCATCTTGGCCATCTTTCCCATTCTCTCTGCTCTTCCTTCCCATTTCACTTCCTCCTCCCATCCTTTCTGCTCTTTTTTACATCACCTTAATAATAATAAAAATGCATATAATCCAATATTTCCTTTAGGATAATTTGAAGTTATGAGCTCTCCATCTCCTCTCCCTCCCCCCAGGCTTTCAGCTTCATCACTGTTACTACACTGTAGTGCCTGTTGAAATGCTCCTTGCAATTGATGGGAATGAAGTGCTGACTGGACTGACAACACCATAGGCAGGGCTAGATCGATGTGTGATTTTTTTTTTCCAGTCCTGCTCCTATACCTGATGCACTGAAAATGGTAAACAAGCATTGCTTAGTTAAAATACGCCCATGTTTAAATACAAATGCATTTAGTATGAATGGAAAAGATTAGTATAAGTTGTGTTTTGGTTAGTAACCATTCACTCTGTGTGTGTATTATATTTTCCTTCCTTCAATTTAATACAGTGGATGCTTATTTAATAACTCTTTTCCAGGTCACTTCAGAAGATTAGAATCTAATTGAGTATATGAATTAGGTTTTATTGCTTGTCAAAGAAAGGGAAATTTTAAATAATATAAATGTATGTATAATTTTGTTCATTGTCTTTTTGATAGTGAAATATAGTAGGGGTTTCTTTGATAACTGCTGCTACTAATGTAACTTTTTGCTGCCAATGTAATTCATATTTGAATCAGCTGTACTAAAAATAAAGTCAAATGTATGTTTTTTGGAATTTAAAAAATCTTTTAATTCTTCAAAGTTAGATGTCTTGAAGGCAAACCATTCTGAGGGCTGTAAAACAAATTATTAATCCAGTAGTTTGCCTTCATTTCCATGAGCCACACAGCTACAGGTGTGTCAGTTCAGATGGGAGTCACTGCCAAATGTACATTTATAAATTCTCATTCTCCTTCAAAGGTGCCTGTGTTATTTGTCAGAAAAAGATGATGCACTAGCCTTTTTTATGAGCATATTGCTAAATCATACATATAGTACAATAGAACAGATTACATCTTTGTCATCAATTGCCACCTCTCACACACACTTAATATATCATTGTGACGTACTTAAAAGAGGACAGAATGGATTATTTCATGTAAACTTTATAGTCCCCAGCCTTCTTAAGAAGGGTACTCAAAGCAAGTGAAGGTCCTGGGATTGTACACTTCATCTTTATTCAATAAACCCCAAAGTCAGATTGTAACATATGTAGAATATATTCCCAGGCACAACAGCTCATTAACCTGAAGTTAAGGTTGAATGGATGTATCATTTTTATCTGCCAAAAGGTAGGGGCATGGGAAGATGTGAGAAGACTTTGAGTATCCTCAAAGGCAAATGTCAGCCAGGAAATTCCAGCTAACCGTTCTGTTTTACAGAAACCCCCCAAATATTTAAAAGTATTCATATACACATTTAGGGTTGCTTACATAAAAATTCCACTCTCTAGTGTCATCTGATAATAATGAGAAACCCGGAGATTTGTTTGTCCTTCCTTCACACAGGTTCACATCACTAGTGACCACAAATAGTATTAATACACATAAAGATTTAAAAATGCAGCATGTATTAATCTCTCTTGAATTTCTCAGAAGTCTCACAGTGGCACTGTGGGGCAGAGTGGACCTTCTTTCCAAATACTTGCAGTGTTTGACAGATGTGCTTATCTATCCAAATACTGTGTATGACGTTGCTGTTAAGATTTTGTGTTGGAGTGGAAGTTGAATACTTTTGCGGTAGTTAACTGCTGTTTTGTTACCTGTTAGAGGTGGGACTAAAATCTTAAGTGTTGGAGAGTGTTATTTAGAGTGGCAGCATGGGCAATATGATTGAATGAAGGATACTTTTCTCATTGACATCTTTTTTCCATGATTTTTAAAAGTGTAGTAAGTGTCTTTTCCACGCTCAGTCCCCACTTTGCCTTTGGAGCAATGAATCAAGTTCACTTCTCTCACTGGAGAATCATTGCTTTCCTCAGTCCCATGGAATGGCTGCTGTTACTAACACATAGGAGGTACACTTCAGAAACCCGTTGCCCCAGCTCACTTCTGGCTTTAATTTAGCTCAAAGAGTTTACAATGGAGGAAGATTTGCTTTTGATTCCCACTTTAAAAAGTAGCTGTAATATAGTAAAACCTTTTTATTTCAGACTTCCAAAAAAATTGATCGGCAGCCCAGCCTTTGCTCACAGCTCTCTGTGATGCAAATGAGAAACAGCATGGCTAGTTCCAGTGACAGTGAAGACGGCTTGCAGCAGTTCCTTCGAGGAACTTCCACCGCCTCCTCTCTTCGTGAGTCCTCAAAAATAGTGAAGAAAATCTTGGGCTCAGCCCTGCAGACCATTAAGGACAATTGCAAAACTTTTATTGATTTTTGTGGGAGCAAGATTTGTTCTACTTTCTCCCCGACAGTGAAACAAATCTTTGTACTAAGCTGTTGAGACATTGTATTAGTGGCTTTGGATGGCAGCAGGATTTACTTCTTTTAAAACTTAGGGATTTGTATTAATACTAGAAATAATGAGCCATATAATAATGTCTGATCTTTATATCAAACAGATATAATATTTGAGAAAGGAGGCACATCACATGTAAATAACACTGAAATTTTCAGTAACTCAGTATAAATAATACATGTACGTGTACATGGTGGTGACAGGCTTTAAGTGTATCTAAGGAGGGGCTATGGTGGTTTTATCTTACCTTTACAAGCTCTTTGATGCTGGGGCTGGTTTGGCTGGAGGCTGCCCTAAGTTGTGGTGGCTGGTAATAGCCTATGAAGAGTCTTTCCTTTCAGTCAGGACCATCATTTTGTTCTCTGTTTTGTCCAAGAGAGCCTTGGCCCATAGGAGGGCCTCCTAGGGTTTGTCCACAGCAAAAGAGACGCAAGGTGCTGAGCCTCTGAGCCCAGATCAATTGACTCAGACTCACGCTGTGGGGCTAAAAATAGCAGTGTAGACCACTGGAGTCTGGGTTTTGAAACCAAGCGGGAAAGATCTTGGGTTTCAGGCTTCACCCTGAGCATGAATATTTACACTGCTTTATTATTATTATTATTATTATTATTATTATTTATTATTACTATTTTATTATTTTAACTTCACTGTGCAAGCCTGTGTCATTTGACCCAGGCTCTGACACTCACTTCTGGGGTTTGGTTTGGTTTTGTTGACATATCCTAAGGCACTTAAATCCTACTAATAATCCTTCTCTCCAGCAATGGCCAGACCACAGCAGCACTCTGGCCATGCTCTTTCCTACTGACACGTCCTTATTGCCAGATACTTTGTTAGCTCTGTGCCACCTGGAAATCTCTACGTAGCCAGTTAAACTTGCTCCACCTACTCCATACCCTTAGAGCAGCACAAAGTAGGTGGAATAGAGAAAGCCAGGATTGGGCAATGCAGCTTTATATCAGAATCCTATCGAAATCTTTTAAATAACTCAATTTAGTTTAGCTTTTTTCTCTCTGTTGCATGTAGAACTATATGAGGTTTACTGGAGCTGTTTTAAAGACAAATTCTTACTATGTTATGCTGATCTGCTCACAAGTGTGTGATTGCTTTCACGTTCACTATCACGGGAATCATGTGAACACCCATATCCCAGTTATGTGGGCACCAAACTAGATGGGCACCTTCTCAGGCACACACACAAATCAGGAATTTCTTTGCTGTTTTCCCAAATATGCACTGATTCGGGTATTTTTAATAGAAGCAATTTCTTTTTATCCTCAGGTTCCATGTCCATAAAACACTACAGGCATGTCTAAACTACATCCTTCTTTCGAAAGAGATGTAAATTAGGCAGATCAAAAATGAAAATGAAGCGGGGATTTAAATATCCCGCGCTTCATTTGCATAATCGCGTCACAGCATTCTTTTGAAAAAGGGTATTTCAAAAGTGAAACTACTGTCTAGATGCGGTTCTTTCAGGAAAAAAAATCCTTTTAAAAAAGATCCTGTATTTGGAGTTTTTTTCCGAAAGAACCGCGTCTAGACAGCAGTTTCACTTTCGAAATACCCTTTTTCGAAAGAACACTGTAATGCGATTATACAAATAAAGTGCGGGATATTTAAATCCTCGCTTCAGTTGCACTTTTGATCTGCCTAATTTACATCCCTCTTTTAAAAGAGGAATGTAGTTTAGACATGCCAGTAGTGTTTTAGCATATGCATTGTAACGAATTTTGATTAGAAAAATAGGCTTCTCATACTGCAACGTTTACAGTCCCACAATAGTTTATCAAGTGTACTTGGTCATGCATGTGTTCATTTCAGTACTTTCCTTTTGGCTCCCACTTACTAAAGTTTATTTAAAGTAATAGTTTTAACCTGAAATCAGAGTTTGAAAAAACTGAATGTGCCTTACCCAGCTGGCAAAGGCTTTAATTTAACTGGGTCATACCAGATTCGCTGCTGCAGCTGTTATGAGCTCACTGTTTAGTTTTTAGGCTGTTTAATAAATAAGAACTTATCAGTGGTCCACCACTACTAAATTTATCTCTTTCTAATATGAAAAATATCACTTAGTAATTTTTATTTGACTTTAAGGCACCACCTTAATTACTCATTCTTCACCATTGTCTCCCTTACACTTCTGATTCCAGATTAGAAGAGTCCCTTTTTTCTACTTTTTACCAATTATATATTTATATAGTGTCATGTTAGATGGGAGCTCAAGTCCTAGGAGTGTTTCATCCTTGTTACAAGAGGGTTACTGATGGGATGTAGTTTTGGGAGGTTAGTGGTATTTCAGATTTGATTTTCTTCTTAACTTTCCCTGTGATCTTTCTTCCAAAAAGACCTGGTTTTGAGGGGCATTGACAATATTAATGCCTGAGGTCTCCAGCATACCGCTTCCTTTCGTTTCTATTTTGGAAACTTCATGATTATATTTGTGCAATTGAGAGGAGGTCATGGGCAGTTAGCTAGAAATGAGGTCCTATTGCAAACAGCTGCAGAGGGTTTACTCCAGTATTTCAGTGTTCGGAGAAACTAATCTAAAGGCTTGCAATTTTCAGAGATAATATTAATCCCCGTGTAAGATAAACCTGAGCTTACAAATATTTGGTAAAGTCCTCTTCTCTATTGTATTCCTGCTAGTCCGCCTCTTTGTTTTCTCTCAACAACATATCTTTATGTGTTAGTTAATAAAGTGTCTGAGCTCCCCAAACTGATAGAAGAGGATTAGCTGTCTCTCTGATATGCAATGCTTCCTTGGAATTAAATTCTTTGCCTAGACAGCTGGGCTGTCTGGTACTTCTACATCACACTGTCTATAGGACACAAATTTAGCATTGCCTGAATATAGGTATTGAGCTAAAGATTTAGCCATGGCGCTCTCTCCTTTAGGTCCCAAAAGAGAATCAGAACAGAAGGAGGCCATTTAACTTTCCACTTTTATATTTCAGATAGACCTGTAATAGCACTCATATGTGCATCCTAGTCAATAACTGCTTTTCAAATTGGAACACATTAGTGGAGTAGCATGCTCCAATTGTGGCATACTTGTCTGTACCAATACTGAGTTTTCCTTTCAGCTGTAGCAGAGAGCATAAATCAATGTTCCTTTTATTTGGGTGGGGGGGGCGGACAATAAAAACAAACAACAAATCACAACAGATTAGAAAAGGGCAACAAGTGAAAAGCAAGTATCTTCTGCCCTAGGAGAAAGCAGTAAAAGAGAGCTTATCTGGGATGTGACCATTTCAAATATAGGCAAAAGCTTCTGAATATAAAAATCTGATTTTTGACTACTAGAGCGTGGAAAATCTGTACTCGGCTAAGTTTTGTGTACTTACTGGAATATACTTGTAAAAACTGAATTTTATTTTTTGAATGCATTGAAGCAATTTTTAGGTTGTGACTTTGCTGATGTGCTCCAAAAATACAAATTCTCTAATACAAATTCTCTATAAAGTTTTATAAAAGAAAGAGGGAAAATATTCTTGCTAATAGAACCATTCTGCTCATATACTTACAAAACTATGTTTTGTTTTAAGTTTAATTAACTAAAAACAATACAACTAACTGTCTGCTTTTATATTAAGGAAATAACCAACAAGAGTTCTATAATACTTATGGAGTGGGTCGTTTGCAGCATGATGTTTTCTGTTGATAACATCACACACTAACCCAACATCCTCAAAAAGGTATTAAAATGAAGTTTGTTTATGCCAAGTTGGATGAGGTGTGAAATACATTTTTTGCAAAAGTTGCTTTGCAGTTTCATTTACTAATAAGTTGTACACAGATGCATTGTGTAAGTGCAAAAAAAGAGTTGGAGCACAAGAATAATTTCAATTACAATAATTTTATCTTTTATGGTGTGTCCATGTTATTGCTACAAAATAACCCTAATGATTAACAGTAATTATTAATATGCAGGGTTATGTAGGCTTCTTTTTAAAACAGTAGTATCTGATTTAGCTCAGAAGTGTTGCTGATCTCTACAAATTTTCTTTGCAGCCCTTTGAGGTCTAAGCCAGGGGTTCTCAAACTGGGAGTCAAGACCCCTCAGAGGATTGCGAGGTTACTATATGGGGGATTGCAAGCTGTCAACCTCCATCCCAAACTCCGCTTTGCCCCCAGCTTGTATAATGATGTTAAATATACTTGAAAATGTTTTTAATGTATAAGAAGGATCATACCTCAGAGGCTCACCAGTACAAGGGTCACCAGTACAAAAGTTATGAACGTAAGAATGGCCATACTGGGTCAGACCAAAGATTCATCTAGCCCAGTATCCTGTTTGCTGACAGTGGCCAATACCAGATGCCCCAGAGGGAGGGAACACAACAGATAATCTTCATGTGATCCCTCTCCTGTCACCACCCATTTCCAGACAAACAGAGGCTAGGGACACCACCATTCCTACCCATCCTAGCTAATAGCCATTGATGGACCCAACCTCCATGAATCTATCTAGCTCGGTGGTTCCCAAACTTTTTGGCATCACGGCCCCTTTTTGATTTTTGAGAAACCCTCATGCCCGCCCCCCCAAAAATAGCAGTAAAACTTGGGGTGGGATTGACGGATTGTGTGGGGCTGGGTCGCCTCACGCCCCCCTGGAAGTTCTTCACACACCCTGAGGGGGGCACACACCCCCACTTTGGGAACCCATGATCTAGCTCTTTTTTTAACCTTGTTAAAGTCCTAGTCTTCACCATATCCCCTGGCAAGGAGTTCCAAATTTCTTTTGATAACCCCTAGTTCTTGTATTATGGGAATAAGTAAATAAGTTTTTCTTATTCACTTTTTACACATCTGTCATGATTTTATAGACCTCTATCATATCCCCATATCTATCATAAGTTTGAACGCCACTGGTCTAAGCTAAGGAGAAAGGTAATATGAGGATTTCTTTTCGGTAATGCTTTCATTGGTGTTACCTCAGTATATTCAGTATGTTATATCCAATTTGTGGTTAAGAGTGGAATTGGGTTTCACAGGAAACACCTTTTTTAATAAGCATTTCAGCTTAGAAACAGGAGACCGTGCAATAGACAACTATTGGAGGCGTAGTGTCAAGACTGCCAATTCTGTCCAGCAGGCTTGTGCCACGGTGCTTCTGATAACTATGGAGAGACACAAGCTCTTCTGAAAAAAGGAAAATAAGCTTTGTTCATATCACCCACAAAATTGACATCTTAAAAAAGAAATGGAAACCTTAGGCCTAAATTTTCAGGCTTCTATTTTAATGGGTGTATTTTGTGCCCTCTGTTTAGATCACTTAGATATCTGAATCCATAACTTGACCCACTCATCTCAGATTTAGACCTCTCTGGGTATGCCTAAACTTCCAACGTAACCTAAAACATAGCAGCGAGTCTATGAGCCCGGGCCAACTGATTCAGAACAGCTGTGAAGATGTTCTCACTTGGGCTGGAGCCCGGACTCTGAAGCCCAGCAAGGAGGGAGGGTTTCAGAGCCTGGGCTGCAGCCTGAGGAATAATGTCTCTATGGCCATTTTTGGGCCCATAGTGTAAGTCCATATCAGTTAACCCGGGCATAGGAATCACCGCTGTGGGATTGTCATTGCAGTATAGCCATATGCTAAGTGGCCAACCTGCACTTACTCATTTTTGCAAGTAAAAATTGCATCTGAAAACAAGGCCTTTGTAATCCTTGTGTTTAATTTACATACCTAGAAGCATTGCTTGGGTCCTTAACTCAATTAATTTTTTTTTAAGTCATTGCTCTGGGGTGGGACTGGGGATGAGGGGTTCAGTATGCAGGCTGCTCCAGGAGAGAAAGAGGACTACAACAGCCCTCTCTAACCATAGCCGCTCAGGGAAGCGCTTGTCTTTGGCTGCTGCAGCTGCAGTGGTCACAGCTGGGGGAGGGGAACATGCCTCCTGTCTGGGGGGACAGACAAACAGACAAACTCTCTCAGATAGCTGTTCCTTTCTCCACTCCTGCCCCCTGCTGCCCTAATGGGGTTACTGCTGTCCCAATCCCCATCTTTGGCCCCTTGCTGCTGCAGCTTCACAGTAGTTTGACATTATGTTGAAATAAGTGCCAGCTACATAGATGCAGGTAAAGCTAGTTATTTCGAAATAATGTCGCTCTGTAGACATAGCCTATATGCTATATATTGTGGTCATTATATAACAGAGCCCTTCCTTTCTATTTTATGAGCAGTAGTCCCATTCCAGACACATCCCATTGTCCTGGCACAACCAAACCCTGACCTTGCTTTAAGTTATAATAAGAGAAAGCTGTATACCAAATTTGGTGGTTCTAGTTCTTAACGTTTAGGAGGAGTTCATGAACAGACTGTCAGAAAGACAGGCAAACTCCCTAAATTTATAGTAGATAATCTCTGTGTAAAGCTAGCTGAGTAATTTAAGCAGTTTGTTCATGCTGGGGAAAAAATTAAGTACATTTACTACATGTGGTGTTCCCAAAGCACTAGCACCATCCAGTGTATGCTTTAGTGTAATTTTTAAATCTGACCATAGTAATACAAAACACATACTTGAATTGTAAGCTCCCCTGGGCAGAGACCATATTTCTGTTCTGTGTTTGTACAGCACCAAGCATCATGTGATCCTGGTCTATGACTAGGGCTCAGGTGTTATAAAACATTAATTATTGCATAGATGATGGTTTTAAGTCTAAGTAGTTTGTGTAATAGGAACCTCAATATATTAACCATATGTTATGACTGCAGAGATTCTTGAAGGGAAATGTTTTTCTTATCTGCATATACAGAGATAGCATCTGGCTGGCATGACTGTCTGCTACTGTTTTTCTTCTAGGATAATTTAACATTTAAACAACGTTCATACTGTTTTCAGTCATCGTATGCAGGCGGATTATAAACTTTCAAAGGCTGCACCAGTTGTGAATGCAGAACTGCTGCACTCTTAGGGAACTGAGAGAAAATGGATTTAAATACAATTTTTAGATGGATAGACAGAGATTTACTCAAAGGCAACTAGTGGAGGAGGAGCTGGGGGAGGGGGAGTCACCAGCGATGTGACCCATCATGCCCAGCCTGCAGAAGGGCCAGGACCACTCTCTCTCTGCTCCAATCCCTGCCTCTCCCTGCCCCTGCTCCGTCCCTGCCCTTACTTCACCCTTTTTCTCTCCTCTCCCCCCCCCCCACCTCTTTCCCCAACCAAGGTGACCCATGGACTAGCAGGGCTGGGTGGTCCAGCAGCGGAGGCTTAGCTGCTCTCTGCACTCACTGGCAGCAGCAGGGGAAGTGGAACAATGCAGCCCTAGTTCACCCTGCACCCCTGGCGCATTGCTCTGCTTCCCACCAGTGAGTGCAGGGAACAGCAAGCGAGGAGAGCAGAGCGAGCTGGGGCCGCCTTGTTCCACTTCCCCAGCCACTGCTGATGAGTGCAGGGGCGATGGGAGAGCTGGACCTCTGCTGTGGGTGCCAGGGTTTCTCACCTCTACTAGACGCTCGCCGGCTGCTGGCCAACCCCTCCTGCCAACAGTGGTTGGTGGGGGGGATTTGACTCCTTATCCCATCACTACTCATCATCCCTGGATTTGCCTGTCAGATTAGTGTTTAAAGCAGGGCTTGGGGCCACTGACCCACAGAAAAATCAGTCAGGGGCCACACACAAGTGAGAAACAAACAAAAAAAAAAAAAACCCCAAAACATAAAACAAACCTCACTGATGTGGTCCAACTTAGAAGGACAAAGACAGAAAGACGCTCCCTACATTCCCTTCCCACGTCAGAGCCTATGGGTCCCAACCTAGTAGATGCTGTGTGCGTAAATCTTGCAGTGTGGTAGGAGGGGGGGCTTGTGCACCAGCACTGGCTCCCCAATGCTGGCGGGCCCCTGAGCATCGGGGGCTAGATCCAGTCAAGCCAGGGGCCACATCCAGCCTCTGGGCCTGAGGTTCCCTGCCCCTGGTTTAAAGTTATGAGACTAAATCCCCTCCGCTACATGTACTCATTTAGAATAAAATCTTGAAGTCCATCCTCAGGCAAAATGTCCATTAACTTGCAACTGAGTGTGGGCTTTTGTGTGCTCTGCCTTAGAAGGTTCTATTCATTGTTGCCTTGCCTGCAGGCTACCAGCTACTGTTAGAACAGTGAAACATTTTCAGTCACTGGCCACATGATGCATATTATTTAGCCCTACGTTTGTTAATAACGTAAAATACTTGTTTTTCATTTCAGTTGTTCAGGCAGTGGAAGTTAACCACTCCATATGTGTTATCCCGTTTTGTTGTTTATGAGGCCAGCCGTGAAGCTATGATCAGTTACTCTGCCTGAGATCTGCCCAAGTAAACCTAAGTTTTTTGTCATGACTTTGTGTCCTGAGGCAAGTACTCAAAGACACCTTTTGTGCTTAAGTCATCCAGCCTGGCTGCTACTTCTTCAGGCCAACTTTTGGTTGAATGCAGCAATAAGAAAAATGCCTATCATCAGCAACACAGTTCCCGGAGTAGGAAATGCAGAAAACTCCCATTGACATCAAAAGGAGTTTTCCTAAGTATGAACAGTAGAATTTGGCCCTAAAAGATTGAGTCCTACCTCTTTTGATACCCAGCATTATGATTTCCAGATGCTATAGTACAGTATCAAATTAATTGACTTTCACCTGGAAGATGTACATGTTTCACATTTGGGAGGATCATCAGATTTGCTATGTACTTATCACAAATGAGTCTATATAATGAGGGTGCACTCTTCAATGTAACACTTTCTTCTCTTTGAAATTGTGGCAGGCCGGACATCTCCCTATATGAGAACTTCGGGAAAAATGAAACCAATAGAAGAAAGTGGTGAAGATGATGTCTTTGAGCTACCATCTGCTGTTAAGTTTGAAGTTCAGTGACTGCCTTGAATTGACATGGTGTAGAACATCCAGGGACTTTGTGGCTAGAGCAAAAGCAAGAGGCTATTTACATGGGATTTTGGAAACTATCAGCACCCTTTACTTTCATAGAAATGTATTACAATATACCTGTTAGTGGCTTTTAAGTAAAGATACCAGATTTTATTTATTCTCCTTTAAAAAATAAAAAGGCATAGATTATATTTTTACTGATTGGCCATGATTTTCCTCAATGGTGGTATTTTTATTTTGGCTCTCTGCTGAGTTAAATTCAGCTTTAAGCAACAAATTAGTCTGAAACTTCATATACTTATTAGCTACCATTTTCAAAATCACCCAACTCCCAGTTTTCTAAGCCATGTAGGAGCCTAAAGCTATGTCTATGCTTGCCCATCTTAGCATAAAAATTCAGGTTTTCGCACAAATACCTTGCTAGTGGTGTCGCTGAAAATGCACATTTTGTACTGACACTGCTGAGTTTCAGCGCAAAAATTAAACCACCCCAGTGAGAGTCGTTTTGCACTGATGTGCCAGTGAAGACTCTTGATTGCTTTTACTACTCTAATTGCCCTCTAGAGCTATCCCACCATTGAGAATGGGAGTGGCTGCTCTTTGAAATTCAGCTGTCCTCTCTGCAGATATGTGCCCCTCCCCTTTAAATCTGTTCTCACATTGGGTGCTGTCACTGCTCCTGGGCACACAACAAATAATTATTGTAGAATGTTCCTGCTGCCTCCCACAAAGTGAACAGAAGCAGGCAGAGAGAATATGCTGTGCAGAGTCACGGAGCGAGGTGGGAGTGAGGTTGGGATTTTCCTGCTCCCGTGACTCAGGATTGGTTGTTTCTTTCTTTCTTTCTTTCTTTCTTTCTTTCTTTCTTTCTTTCTTTCTTTCTTTCTTTCTTTCTTTCTTTCTTTTTCTTTTTCACACACACACACACACCACCCATTTCTGCCACAATAATGATTTGCTTTGTGTCCCAGAGCAGTGCATAGTGGGATGTCTACCACAGTGCATGCTTCTCATTAGTGATGCAAGTGCTGAATATGTAAGTGCTCTCTGATGCCTGTGGAAAACAATGTGAACACAAATGAGAGCTTTTCTATTGGTGCTTTTCTATCACTGACGAAGCTGTTCATGAAAAAACTCTGCAAATGTAGACATAGCCTAAGTCCCTGTGAAAGTGAATGGCAATGTTTGAAAATTTGATTCAGTATCATTTGTACCTAGCACCTTAGTCATCGGTATAGCAGTCTCCAAATGAAGTTAATACACACAGTTTTCTGTGTATGCATGAATGTAATGTGTTAGTTTTATGCACAAAAACAATTTTAGAAGAACGTGAAAGTGACAAAGTCAAGCACTCAAAAGTTAGGAAAAGCCAGTATTAAGTTTGCCATGCCACCAGTGCATTATGTGCATGCATTATGATGCAGTTTTTAATTACATAATCACAATCTATTTTTGACATAAATTTGCCAACATGTGTATATATATGACACAAAAGCCATCCTTCTGCTGAATTTCAGGTCTCTGTTCCACTGCATAGGAGTTCTATAGTATCTTAAAAAAATCACCAGAATTTTTAAACTTTGGCAAAATAATGTATTTTTCCCTTGTTTTGTTCTTGGAAACAGCTACACCATTTCAGCTAAAAATTTTCAAAGGCATTCACCTGTGGGAAAAATCCAGTATGTGAAATTTCAGCCCAAACAGTTACAGTTTGGCAAATTTCTAAGTAGCTGAAAAAAGGGTTTCTCATAAAGGGAAATATTGGGCAGCCACTGCCTGCTCTCTCTCTAGCAGGGATGAGCAATAATTTTTGATGGAGGGGGCCACTCGAAGATTTTGGTAAGTGGTCAAGGGTCTCACTTTTCTATGGAGGGGATGCAGGGTCTGGGATGGAGCTTGGGTATAGAAGGGCATTCAGGATAGGGGACTGGAGCATGTGTGGGGTCTGAGGGAGTTTGGGTAAAGGAGGGGATTGTAATATGGAGCAGGAGATTGGGATGCAGGGTTGCGGAGGGGGTATGGATGCAGGAGAGGGTTCAGACCTGGGGAAAAAATTTAAGAGGGCTTGCAGGGCCTGGCTAAGTGTTGTGACCTAGGGGAGGGAGGGGTGCAGAGGGTTTGAGTGGTGACCTGGGACAGGGAGGGATTGATGACCTGGGGTAGGGTGTTGGGATGTATGAGGGGTTAGTGGGTCAGAAGCAGGCTATGGCTGGGAGGCTTTTACTAAGGCACTTTTGGCCAATGGGAACTTCAGTGATTCTGCTGGGGGTGAGAGTAGTGCTCAAAATCTCCCCCCTTCCCCCGGAACCTCCAGCTCCAGCACACAGTGCAGAGAGGCACATGGAGCAGCCAGCTGCTTTGAGCTTCCCTGAGGGTTCTGGGCCTGGCAGGGCAGGCCACAGGCCGTATCCAAAGGCTTGATGAGCTGAATCTGGCCCGCAGGCTGGATCTTGCCCATCCCTGATCTGTAGTGTGTGCATACGCTTGAGTAAAATCAATGTGTTTGTTACGCAATAATAAACTATTTACTGGTAGAGGGCATAATGGTAGACACAGCAGTCTGTGTAACAATTTAACAGAACATGGAGAGTAGAATGTGAGAGAGAATGAGATTCTGGATAACCATCAGAGTCTGGTTGAAACTCAGTATGAGACTTTTTTTTTTTTTTTTTTTTTTAAACCGGGGTGATTATCCTAGTATTGGCAGTGAAGTTAAGCCTAACCGTGTCCTTGAATCAGCCTGTGCCTATGGAATATAGTCTGGTTTTGCTCTGTTCTGAAGCGCTTGCAATACCAAAGCATCGCACTTGATGGTGGACATAGTTTTACCTTCATACTGAATGCTATTGTTTTTATGGTTTTAAATTCAATATTTAATGTTACTTCAGTGTGTATTGTGGTTTTTGTTCTTTGCATATTAAAAATTGTCATTGAGGCATAGTTGTCAGTTGATGCAAATATATGTTAAATGCTTTTTATATCTCAACGTCATGTATGCAGTAGACCACACTGGCTCCTTGTGGAACTAACATAATTTATCATATAAATTCACTGTTTGAATTTTGTAAAAACCTGTATTTACTTTGTAGACAATCAGGGCTCCTTTTAGAGCCATTGCCATCTCTTGTGTAAGTCCTTAAACAAGTTTTAAAGATACAGCTCTGATAAAAATCACTGTGGCTAGGTATAAGATTACTGAGTGGTTTTTGGTGCCCACATTATCAGCATTTAAGACAAATCTAAAGACATGTAAAAGCTTATGCCACATTTATAGTAGCTGATTATCAACTGTTAATAACTGGACAACATTACTTTTTTTGGAAAAAAAATACTGTGGATAGCGTGGGGATTAGTATATATTTTGGGGACAAGTCTAAACAATAAAAATGTGTGATTTAAAGGAGCAGTTGAAATGTGTAATGTCTACATTTTTGCACTTATACTAAGGAGACTTTGGGTGAGGGGTTGATGTGTAGAGTTTACTAAAAAAAATTGTCTAGAATGAACTTTTATAGGAAGTTTTAAGAGAAAAGTTTGAGTGGAAATGCTGTGAGAGACTCTTTTGTTACAGTAGGGATGGTGGGCTGGGTTAATATGGATAATCCCAGGAATATGGTGGTATACTGTGAAAATTAAATCCAGAACTTTGACGTTCTTAGCTTAAAATAACACAAATATTTCATCCACCCTTTTTCTCTGTACATTTTTGAGAATTGTTTCAGTCAGTTAAGTTGTCTAGCAGCCATGCAATCAACTGATGAGGGAGCAAAGGAGCGGGATTCAGAAGTAGGGTGACGATATGTTCCATTTTGATGGGAAAAGCCCTCTTTTTAAAGCCCTGCCTTAGCTATCCTGAGGCTTTTGGCAAAAGTGGGCATTTGTCCCATGCTTTTGCCAACTTGATCAGTTAGCAAGAGCAGTGCCCACTTTTTTGAAAGGAACTTGCAGGGAGGGGGGTGAGCAGCAATGACAAGCCCACGTGGGAGGGAGGCAGTGGTCAGGCAGGGCACATACAAGCAGTGATGCCAGCTCCAGCCTTTGGAAAATATGGTCATCTGATGTAGTATGTGCATCACTGCTTGTCCAAGCCCTACTTGCTCCCTTCGTCCCCTCCATGTGGGGAGGAGGGCTCGGGTGAGTGGCTCAGGTGAGGCCTGCAAGGGGGGACTTGGGCAAGCCCTGCACAGTGTCTTGTTTTCACTTTGGGAAATATGGTCACTTTAGCAGATGCCAAGCTTGCTTGTGGGCCAGGAACACTTTCTCACATTTAAGTGACCTCTATTAATAAAAATATCTCCAGCTCTCCTCAGCTAGACAAAGGATCTCAGGCCATATAGAACTTTGAGTGGCAGGGCTGAAAGGGGAGAGCCCTTTCCCATCCACCATAAAAATTGCTTTAACCATTAGAAAACTGTCAGATCCTCATATGAACATGACCTGGGAACTGGCTAACTTCCTAGAGTCAGCCCTTTGCTAGGAGGCTCTCTAGCTTTGGAACTGCTGTGTTTGAGATGCCATTCATTCATGGCAGTGCAGCTCCATGAAGCCAGGTACGTTTTAGTAGATCACCTCAGCAGAACATGTTCATCTTGCCGTAAGCCTTCTCGTCACTCCACATGAAGGCGGTCAACATCATCTTCCAAAAGCAGGGATCTCCCTAAATGGACTTGGTTGTAACTCAAAAGAACAGGAAACGCCAGATGTTCACGGGGACCTAAGGGTCTCCTTGTCAGATGCCTTCTTACTCCCATAGTCAGGTGCTCTAACATATGCCTTCCCCCCCATTGCCATTGATCCACAGTGTCCTCATAAAGATCAAGCAGAACAGGGCCTGTTGGTGATGGTTGAATGTCCTATCTAGAGGCGTGCGCAGCACATTACATTAGGGTGTGCACCCAGGGGAATTTTTTTTTAAAGGCAAACATTTATTGAATACTCATTCATAAAGGACGTTATTTTTATTCATCAAACAAACTAAAGAAACTAAAACTTAACTAAACTTAATTTTTTTTAAATTAACAACTAAACTTTACTTAAAAGAGCGTATCATGCGATTAAATTAAAATGCAAAGCCACTTTTTTGTTGAGACATTAGGGTGTGCCTGGGCACACCCCTGAGCACGCCTATGCTCCTATCCCAGAACCATGGCAGCCTCCTGCACCCGAATATAGCAGCGTTGCACTTGACAGCTTGTTGGCTGGCTGCATAGTTGAATGCCAAAGAGAAGGAGTGCTCAGCCCATATTCGGCAGGTACTTAGGTTGCTCTGGTAGATTCCACAGATCTGGCCAAATGGAAATGGTTCATGTGCCGGCCCTTGACCCAAGGAGTTAGGCCTGAACAGGCTGTGGGGCAATTAATCTAGGACTACCTTCTGCATCTCAAACTCCGAGATTTGTTCCTCTCCTCGATTTATGGGCCACTTGGCCACCATATCAGCCTATAACCTCCCCATATCCCATTCCAGTCTTTGTTTATGACATGACAGTTCAGTTTTTTAAAGGTCTGCAACTCTCTCTCCATGACTGAGAACTTGTCCCTCCATGGGACCTGAATCTAGTGCTCGTACAGCTCATAAGAGTGCCCTTTGAGCCCTTTGCTTTCTGTTCCCTTCTGCTCTCCAGGAAAGTGCCATTCCTTGGGGCCATGACATCTGTCCAAAGGGGTCTCTGCTGTCAGAGCCAACTTCTGTGGTGTTTTCAAGGACAAGGTTCAGCTTTCCTGCCCAGGGTTTTTATACAATTTCAAATGAGCCAGGATATAATCTTGCCAGTCTTTTTCCCAAATCTTCAAGCCTGAGGAAGAGTACAGGTTGCACTCCCTGAATGCCACCATCAAAAGGACTGAACTAGTCCATAAGTTGATACAGCTGTTTGTTGCAGCGGCGGATAGCGTGAAAGGTTGATCAGTGACCACCCAGAGAATTTCATCATGGATCATCGCCTGCATCTGGTTTTGCTATGATCCAGCTAAAGTTTTGCTATGACCCACTGATCATTGTAACTGCCCATTTGACTGGTGCACAGGCCTCACTGGCAGCCTTCTTGGCCCATATGCCAATTCCAGTTATCTGCCGAGCCATGAACTGGTCATCCATTCACATGTTCACATCTCGCTACATGCTTACACAGCAAGCCCATGGTGATGCTGCCTTTTGTAGATCAGTGCTGCAGGCTGCATGAACTCCAAACCCACCTCCAGGAATACTGCTTGTGAGTCACCTAGAATGAAAATTTTCCTTGGCCTTCAGCAATCTCTTTTGCTGTTGTATTGTGTTAGCTAACACCAGAGTGCAGTGTTTAGATGTATCTCAACGAATATGAGGAGTTGATCCATATTTTCTGTGACTTCTAATGTGACTTACCAGTGTGCAGGTTTGGACCCTTAATATGCAAATATGTGTTATATATGTTCTCTAAAATAGAATTGGAAAAAAATCACAGGTGCTACATACCATACAGGGCATGGTAGGTAGTACTATTCTATGGTATCCTAGGCTAGTATTTACAAAGTTAGGCACTATAATCAATCCACATTCAAGTAAGTGAAACATTGAGAACTTTCACCGAAGTCAGTGAGTTATGGCTGCTCAACAGGCTCTTCAGGTGCCTAAAGTTTGGACGTAAATGTGTGTATTTGGTTCAGTGATGGCAGAATGTTAATTAAAGAAGTTCAGAATGAGGAAATTCAGCAGTCAGAACAATTTCAGCAAAATGAATGTAGTTCAGATAAGGCTGTTTTTATTAAAATTGGTGTTCATAGAAACGGATCCATTGTAGTTCAATACTAAAAACTACGTAAAATCATGGTGAAATATAGTGTGAAATCTGTAGTCTTGTTTTTTTCTAAGACATTATTATACATCACCTACCCAGGGAGAGGGAACTGTAACAAAATGCTAATGTCTGCAGAGAAAAGTCAGTACTCTCATAACAGTGTAAAGTGACCATGTTACAGGCAGCATAGCAGCTACCAAATTAAAGAGGAAATTCAGTACTAAAATTCTGACACAGTAAAATATTAAGAAATGGCTCCTTCCGTTAAGTATTTTGCAGGCACATCCTTGCTTCCACAAAGAATCTGTTGTAGAACAGAGATTCAGGATGTCTCTCTTTCCATGCATGACAGATGGCAATTTCACAAGCAATGTTATGGATGGATCTTCACACTACACATTCATAAATCATTTTCATAGAACCTCAGAAGGAAATTTTAGTGACACGCTTTTATGTTATTACTAGAGAGAACAAAAACAGTTATTCCAATTATTGGTTCAGAAATGTGGTAGTCATCGGAAATGTCTCTTGGACTGAGTAAAATATCTTTCCTCCCTCACGCAAGGCTAGTCACAGCTGTTTCTGATTAAAAAGGAATGGGTTCTTAGTACTTAAGGGATGAATAAGGGAAGACAAACTGTCTTCATTAATTAGTCCTGACATTTAAACTTCCTGAGCGTATGATAATCTGAGAATCATTAGAGATTTGAGAGAGGCAATGCCAAAGCAAACAGTTATCTGAATATTTAGTATTGATGGGATAAAGTCCATAGGCCTAACAACTAAAGAATACAATTATACAATGGTTTGGAGAAATGGCACAATTCTTTGGCTCCTAGCTTTAAACCAATGTATTTTCAAATGGTATGATTATAATCTTTGGATGCTAGAAACTCAATTCTAAAACATATGTAGGGTAAATCGGTGGCCTACACATTAACCACATTTTAAAACACAAGATTTTAACTTATTTCTTAAACTCTTTTGAAAAATCCAAGTCAAAATGTTCCTATCCTGCAAACACAGCTGTGCCTATACACACATTACCTAAAGAACTCTAAGGCTTTGTCTACACTGTAGGGTTTTTGCTCAAGAAGCTTTTTGCAGAAGAGATCCTGTGCAAAAACGTCTCGTGTAAAAGCGTGTCCACTCCTCAAAAGTGCATCACAGAAGCGATGTGCTTTTGAGCACAAGAGCATCTACACTGCATAGATGCTCTTGCGCAAGAAAGCTCTGATGGCCATCAGAGCACCTGTGCTTTTTCTGATAGGCTCTCTTTGCACAAGAAACTCCTGAGGAGTGTCCACACATGCCTTTTTGCACAAGAGCTTTAGCTCAAAAAGGAGTTATTCCTCGTGCAGAGAGGAATAACTGTACCGACAAAAGCCCTCTGTCCTGTTGATTTACTGTATTTTTTGTTTTGCGCAAAAATGTGCTTGAGGTGTGGACGCTCTGCCAGTTTTTGCACAAAAGCCTTGCAGTGTAAACATAGCTAAGAGATAGTCAGAGGTCTCAAACTCCTATGGGCTGGAGCATATTTGCAATCCAGCCTGGGAGCTCCAGCAACCAGAGAGAGAGGACATGCACACTTATTCTGCTTCCCAGTGGCTCTTACCACCATGGGGGA